ACTGCTCCCTGCTGTCCCAGGGTCTGGCACAAGCCGTCCTGTTCTCTGGGACTCTCCTGTCCAGGACCCCCCCTTCTCCTTCATTGCCCTGGGGAGGTGTCCCTGCCCGCCACCTGCCACCCCCTTACAGTGTCACCTTCACTGCATAGCCTTCGGCCTGGCTGTACTTTTCATGGATGGTGAGGCTCAATGATGATTGTCTGTCTCTCCTTACTAGACAGTGAGCCCCATGAGGGCAGGGGCTGTGCCTGCTTTTCTTCCCAGCTGCCTCGCCTGGGCCCAGCACAGTGCCTGACACTAAGGAGGTGCTCTGCATACATGAACACTGAATGAATGAATGAATGAAGAAATGAATGAAAGAAACATGTCTAAATGTGAGTTTTCCTGCCTTCCCTGTGCCTGTGAGATCCAGGGAGCAGACCCCGGCATTACTGCCTGGGGGCTCAGAGCCCTGGTCCATCCTTCAAAACCCCCGGAACCCCTTTCTCCTTTAGGCCGAGTCCTCGGTGCCGCTTCCCCTCCACCTGCCCATGCACTCACATCCAAGTAGTTCTCCAGGGACTGGGTGTATGCCAAGGTGGCATCCTCCTTGGGGAGGTACTTGCTGGCTAGGTTGCGGGGATGCGTCTTCAGGAACTCCTCCAGCAGGCCATGCTCAACCAGGTTCTTCCTCCAGGACTTCTTTCTGACAAGTGGAACCCTGTGGCAGAGCATTTGCAAATGGGATGGTTTGGAGGAGGAAGTCTAATTAGGGAAGGAGTCTGCTCATGGGGAGTTATGGAAGGTCCTGAGGTAAAGGAAGCTGCTCCAAGAGAGGAAGAAGGAAGGAAGTCAAGAGGGGAGATGCTCCCATTTTTCTACACTACTGCAAAGAGGTTCAGTTGTTGCCCAAAATCGCCCGGGCCAGTGATGGAGCTGGACCCAAACCCAGGCTGGACCTGAGGTCCTGGGCTGCTAACGATGTCTGCAGTTCCACCTCTCCAAAAGGGCAGAGAGAGAGACAAGAAAGGAGATTCAAGAGAGTGGAAGAGAGCGAGGAGTCGTATGAAGGTAGAAGGCAAGAAGAAAAAATAAAGAAAGACAGTGTGACAGTGTGACAGTGAAGGGACGCAGCCCCTCGGAAGCTGTTCTCCGTGCCCCGTGTCCCCCACACTCACTTGTAGATAAGGCACTCAGAGAGCGCCACCAAGCTGAGCAGCAGCAGCCACTTCATGGTTCTTCCTGGGTCCCAAGTCTCCAGAGAGGGGAAGATGGGTGGAAGGCGAACAGCAGCAGGCAGGAGCTGCTCCTTATATACAGCACAAGTCCTCGGGAATCGGCCTTATCAGCCTCCAAACGTCACCTGTTATCTTGACCCCAAACAGAAGAGTTCCCGATAAGATTGTCCCCGCCCCTGCGCCATGTTCTGAGAAGTTTCCAGTTGAGCAGCTTCCATTGCAACCACATCCCATGGTTAGGATGGACCTGCAGAGAGTGAGCCATGGAGTCATGGCTTATTTCCCAAAGAATGAAAGGGGCCTGCATGAGAACTTGACAAGATGAGTATTTTGACAAAATTAAACTTAACATTGAACAGCTGTCAAAGGAGCTCAGTGTACCCCGATTTGTCCCTGTAGGACAGATGGCTGGGGTGCTTGGAGAGCCACTCTCCACTTAGCGATGAACCATGTTTGTGTAGTGGCTAACCCAAAGCACACTCGTAGGTCAGTGATTTGGGACTCAGGACACATTTCCCCACAGAAATGTCATTACGTGAGGTTGTCGGGTATCTAACTAGCCTCCCAGCCAACCTGAGGAAGCCAACCTGAAAGAAGCTGGGTTTGTCAATGGAATCCATTCCCCTCACTTTCTGCACCCCTTCTGTTCCTACTGCTCCTCTCCCACGCTCTCAGGTTGCTGGAAGCCTCCACCTTTCAGATCCCACCTGGGTCTGGCTCTCCCAGGTGCTCCATGCTCCAGACTTGGCTGAATCAACTGCAATGGAGCAAAGCAGTCTGGGTAAATTCATAGTAGTGGGTGAATGACTCAGAAAGATTGTCTTCTTGATGGAAGATGCTTACCAATCCATTGTATTGTCGACTTTATAGAGTTTATTTAGTGGAAAAAGTGGAGTGAAAACTGATTCAGGAATTGTGGAGGAGGGTGATATGTGGGAGGGACATGACCAACCGGTAGTCAGCCCTATCTGTGAGTCCTACTCTGAAATCAGATTTCCTGGGTCACGCCTGATTTTTCCAGCATCAGAAGACACAGATTCCATAAAAGCTCCAAATTTCCCCCAGTGCTCTGGGTGAGCTTGGAGTGGTGAGCAGAGTGGATCAAGTTCAGGACCAGTGGTGGTTAGTACAAAGCACATTCGTATTTCAAACTCACTCGCTACGACATCTTACTGCTGTAAATGTGGATCCTTGCCCTCTATTTTCCACGTTCACATCTTTTGGTTCACATCTTCCTCTCCTCTCTCTTTCCCCCCCGCCTTGAGCCTGTCTCCTTGATCTACACTCCCACGTTTGGGGGGATTTCAGCTCTTCTGTGGAGGAGCTCATCGTCCTGAAAATGCCTGCTTAAGTCCTGGGAGCACCGGATGGAGATCCCTGGCTGAAGGGTACCACAAAGTTGGGGGGAAGGAAGGGCATATTGGGGGCGGTCATCAGGATCTTCAAAGGTTTCAGTGTTTTAGCTGGGTGTGGGTACGTGGGGGCTCATCATTATTCTGTATATTGTATGTATATATATGTTCTGCATATCTGAAACCATTCATAATAATTTTTCTTGGAAAGAAAGAAGGACCGAGTCTTTGGTGCATAATTTTCAACTTGGAAATGAAAAGAAGTGTGATTGGGGGTATAGGGTGAGTCAGGGAACCCTCAGGATTGAGATGTGGAGAACGAACCATGAAGAACATGATGTGTGTTTTATTCATCTTTCATCTCCCTCAATGAATTATATGGTGCGTGGAAGTGTTCAACATGGTATTTTAATTAATCCCATGTAAGGCTGGCTTAGTTAAGAGCAGCTTGGGAATGTGGATCAGAGTAGGGTCACAAATCTATAGTAATCTCTCCTTCCCTATCAGATGTTTCTTTAGATCACACTAGTGGGAAGCTCTTGGATTGGTGAAGGTAATTGACTTCAAACATTAGAGATTTTAACACACTGGGGGAGGCTGACATGCTTGGTGGCACCCAGTCTACGCTTATAGGAGACTCTACGATGGCCCCCATTTATTCTTTCCTCCTGATATCCACGCCCCTTGTAATATGCCCCCCGTGAACCTGCGCAGAACCTGTGACTAGCTTCTAACCAAGAGGGCATGGCAAAGCAGATGGGATGTCACTTTTGTTATTACATTATATGAGATTGTCACTTCTGCGTTGCCAGCAGACTCTTTGTGTAGAGTTTCTATCTTGCAGGCTCTGATGAAACAAGCAACCCTATGGAGAGGCCCACATGGCAAGGAAAGAGGGTGCCTCCAGCCAACAGCCGGTGAGGAACTGAGGCCCCTAGTCTGACAATCTGCAAGGAACTGAATCCTGCCAACAACCATGTGAGCTTGGAAGTGGACCCTTCTCCAGTCCAGCCTCAGATGAGACCACGTCCCTGCCTGACCCCTTGACTGCAGCCTTGTGAGTGGTCCTGAAACAGAGGACCCAGCCACACTGGACTTCTGACCCACAAATCTTTGAGATGACACGTGTGAGTTGTTTCAAGTTGCTAAATTCTGTTATTTTGTCATCAGCAGTAGTGAAGTAATAGAGGGCTAGAAACCTCTAGAAAACTCCACTAAGATCCACCTGGATGCCTCCTGCTCTTTACCAGGGCCATTTCCATGCACTGCACTGTGGATTTCGGCTCAGGCCATGTGTGTGATCTGAGAAGGAGGGAGTTGATATCATTGCTCTGCTTCTCTGCAAACTCCATCTACACGACAAGGCATTTCCATAACTCTTCATGCTCTTCTGAGTGCTTTGAGATACACGATCTATTAAAAGAGCATTATTCCTGGGCTGGCCCGGTGGCTTAGCAGTTAAGTGTGCACGCTTCGCTACTGGTGGCCCAGGTTCGGATCCCGGGCGCGCACCGACGCACCGCTTCTCCGGCCATGCTGAGGCCGCGTCCCACTTATAGCAACTAGAAGGATGTGCAACTATCTACTGGGGCTTTGGGGAAGGAAAAATGGAGGAGGATTGGCAATAGATGTTAGCTCAGAGCCGGTCTTCCTCAGCAAAAAGAGGAGGATTAGCACAGATGTTAGCTCAGGGCTTATGTCCCTCACAACAACAACAACAACAACAACAACAAAAAAGAGTATTAGCCCTGCAATGTCTCATTGACACTGTTCAGAAGAGTTAAGCTATCAGCTCCGGTTCACATAACAACCTAGGGACACGGGAGGGACTAGAAGCTGCATCACAGAAGGCTCTGGTCTTGGGAGGCTCTTGTCCTGGGCCAGGCTCTGTTTTCACACACGTCCACCTGGTTTCTGTCCATTGGTTAGAGTGTGAGGTGGACGTTTCATGATGGCCACAGTCTCCATCCCAGGGGGACTCAGAGAAGCCATTCTGCCTGTCCCCAGAGGACCTCTGTGAGGGAAAGTGGAGTCCTGACTCCAGGGCCAGGTGTTCTCCATGAGGACTGATCGTCAGTCAAGGCTGACCCATGGCCACCAGCAGGGAAGCCACATAATCTCGTGGTGCTGGACGGGCCTGGCAGAAAGATTAGACAACACCGTTTGCTTTGCCATTAGCCCTGGCACCAGGCTTTGACGAGCACTGGGAACTGCATCACTGATGCAGGGCAGCCCCTGCCAAGAGCACAGGTGTTCAGAAATGTTCCATGAACATATCAAATCAAGCAATGGAATGATACCTAAAGAACCCAATCACGGCAAGACCAAGATAGAACACTTCAGCACGATAATTGTTATCTTATAACGCTTGGGACGGCTGGTCCCCTAAGAACATTCAATCAAGTCTCACCCCAGGCCGGTCTTCCAACAACACAGAGATCACGTTTCCACTCCCAGGTCCAAACCTGCAGAGTTTCTCCAGAGATGGACACAGTTTTTAAAAATTAAATTTGTAGTAACGTTTTTTTTGCCCAAGCATACAAACAATGCATGTTCATTGTAGATTATTTATAGGTGAATAAAGATTTAAAAATGTCTCAAACCTACTACCCAGAATAATCTACCACTAATGTTGTAAATTAATATATTTATTTACTTACACAAATGGGGCCATATGGTACAGTACAAATTGTTTTGCAACTCGCATTAAGAAGAAAAATTCAGCATTCGTGTATTTTCAAAGTGATTTCTTACAAGCCAACATCATTTTTTAAACTTTTCTTGAAATATAATACACACACAGAAAAGTGCATGTCATGGGGAGTAGCCTGATGAATTTTCACAAACTGAGCATATCCATGTAACCACTACCCAGATCAAAAAATAGAACCTTAGAAGATCCCCCAAACTCCCTCAGACTCTCTTCCAGTCATGAACCATGCCCCCCAAACAAAGCATAATCACTGCTCTAACTTCAAACAGCAGTTTTTTTTTATTGCTGTAACATTGGTTTGTAACATTATGTAAATTTCAGGTGTAGATCATTATACTTGTATTTCTGCATAGACTACATCACGTTCACTAGCCAAAGACTAATTACAATCCATCACCACACACATGTGCCCAATCATCTGTTTTGCCCTCCTCCCTTTCCCACTTGTAACCACCAATCCAATCTCTGTCTCTATGTTTGTTTGTTGTTTTTATCTTCTACTTATGAGGCAGATCATACGATATTTGACCTTCTCCCTCTGACTTATTTCGCTTAGCATAATACCCTCAAGGTCCATCCGTGTTGTCACAAATGGCTGGATTTCACTGTTTCTTATGGCTGAGTAGTATTCCATTGTGTATATATACCACATCTTCTTTCTCCATTCATCCCTTGATGGGCACTTAGGTTGCTTCCAAGTCTTGGCTATTGTGAATAATGCAGCAATGAACGCAAGGGTGCATGTATCTTTATGCATGTGTGTTGTCATGTTCTTTGGATAAATACCCAGCAGTGGAACAGCTGGATCATATGGTAGTTCTATTCTTCATTTTTTTGAGGCATCTCCATACTGTTTTCCATAGTGGCTGCACCAGTTTGAACTCCCAGCAGCGGTCTATGAGAGTTCCTTTCTCCCTTCATCCTCTCCAACACTTGTTTCCTGTTTTGTTAATTATAGCCATTCTGACGGGAGTGAGGTGATATCTCATAGTTTTGATTTGCATTTCCCTAATAGTTAATGATGTTGAATGTCTTTTCATATGCCTGTTAGCCATCTGTATATCTTCTTTGGAGAAATGTCTGCTCCAGTCTTTTGCCCATTTTTTCATTGAGTTGTTAGTTTTTATGATGTTGAGAAGTATGAGTTCTTTATATATTTTGAATATTAACCCCTTATCAGATCTATGGTTTGCAAATAGCTTCTCCCAATTTTTAGGTTGTCTTTTCATTTTGTTGAGGGTTTCCTTTGCTGTGCAGAAGCTTTTTAGTTTGATGTAGTCTCATTTGCTTATTTTTTCTATTGTTTCCCTTGCCCGGTCAGACATGGTAGTTGAAAATATGTTGCTAAGACTGATGTCGAGGAGCATACTTCCTCTGTTTTCTTCTAGAATTTTCACGTTTGCAGGTCTTACATTCAAGTCTTTAATCCATTTTGAGTTAATTTTTGTGTATGATGTAAGATAATGATCTACTTTAATTTTTTTGCATATGGCTTTCCAGTTTTTGCAACACCATTTATTGAAGAGACTTTCCTTTCTCCATTGTATGTTCTTGGCTCCCTTGCTGAAAATTAGCTGTCCATAGACGTGTGGGTTTATTTCTGGGCTTTCGATTCTATTCCATTGATCTGTGTGTCTGTTTTTGTGCCAGTACCGTGCTCCAACAGCAAAGATTAGTTGGGTCTGTTTTTGTGCTTTAGATAAACGGCACCATATAACAAGTCTACTTCTGTGTCTAGCGTCTTTGCTCAAAACTGTTTGTGCGATTCACCCTGGTGTTGTGGGGAGTTGCAAATTGGTTGTTTTCATTGCTGTATATTATTCCCTTGTGTAAATATGCATTTTATTTATCTCTTTTCTGGTCGATGGGCATTTGCAAAGCTTGCAGTGTGGGGTTCAGAGGAACAGTACTGTGATGAACATTCCAGTTCATGCCATTTGGTGAACATGTGTGTGCATTTCTGTTGGGTACAGACCAGGAGTGGAATTGCTGGGTCGTAGGGTCGGCATATGTTCAGCTTTACTGGAGACTGATAACGAGTTTTCCAATGTCCTTGTATCATTTTGTGCTCCCACCAGCAGCGTATGAGAGTTCCACAACCTCATCAACACTTGCTGTGTCAGTTGTTATAATTTTAGTCATTCCAGGGGGTGGAAGGAGGTATCTTCTTGGAGTTTTCATTGGCATTTCCTGATAAATAGTAATGTTGAGCACCTTTTCATGTGCTTATTGGCTGTCTGCATGTCTTCTTTTAGGAAGTGCCTGCTCAAGTCTTTTGCTCATTAAAAACAACTATGTTGTCTTTTCTTACAATTTGTAGGAGTTTTACCTCAGTAATTTAATTTTTTCAGGAGCAAAATATCTTTGCATGACATATTACTTGCTTGTGAAGCCATTATAGAAAAATGTGGACGGGTCAGGTGCTCAGGCAGCAGAGGCGATGAAGACCCACCAGTCCCACAAGACATTTTATGGATGCCCTCGAAACTGAAGGAACAGTTTGAATAACCCCTCACATAGATGCTCTTCAAGCCCTGACTCCCTGTGTGTCCATCTCCTTTGCAATTTTGGAGTTTTCAGAAGAGATGAGAGACCTTCTAGAAATCTCCCCTAGAAAATCTCTCCTCTGTATCCATCCCCCCCAAATTAATAATAGTAATTGCCTGCAGATGTCGAGCACCTAAGTATGTCATCCCAGGTTCCCACATGGTTTTTTTTTCATGAGATAGATGCAGGACTATATGGCACCATTTTACATATTTATAGACGGCAAACTGAAGCTCAGAGAGGTTCAGCAGCTTGCCTAGAATGCACTGCAATGAGAGGCAAAGCCAGCATCCTTGATTCCTTCTCCACTCCGAGGGTCATGTTGCTGACTGAGCCTGTCCTGCTGTGCCTAAGAAATTGTTGGGAGAAAAAGGGGTGAAAATTCTCTTGAAAGCAGACATGTGAGAGGCTTTTGGGGGCTGGAGTGTTGTATTTCTTGGCCTGAGTGGCGAGGCTTGTGTGTTTTACAATAATGTGTTAAATTGTATATTAATGCTTTAAGCATATTTTTACATGTTTGTTATTCTTGTAATCGAAAAAATAATGGGGTGGGGGGGGGTGAATAGTCCCTTCATTCTGTCTCTGGCTCCTCCTTATCCACTAAGGAAAGTGAATGTCTAATCTGGTCTGGCTTCCAGACCTCCCAGGTCTGCCAGGTGGCATGTGGGAGAGAGACTGCTTGTCCTAGCATAGTCCTAACGAAGCTCCTTCCACACTGGCAGGTCACCAGGGCCAGCTGCCACCTAGGGCAGGAACCCTCTCCAAGTCAGCCCTAGGACAAGGAGGCAGGTGGGGGCCAATTTCGGGAAGGCATTGATGGCCTTGAGCACGATGATGGCTAACATATAGAAAGGCAAGTGTGCCTGTGAATTAAGTCTCATTTCAACAACACTGTGGGGCAAGTGATCCCCTTTTCATGATTCACTGATGGGCTGCAGAGAGGTTCAGTAGCTTGTTCAGGCTTATACAGTTGGCAGAGGGCAGGGCTGGGGTTCAAACCCAGGCTGTTTGGATCCTGAGCCCACACTTGGACGCATTTGTTGCCTTCCTAAAATATGGTGAAAGCTCTGGGCCCCCTTCTGAGGAAGACACACACACAGACACAAACCCAATTCCAGAGCTCCCAAGGCCCATCCTGGGGCCCCAGCCAGGGGAAGAAGCACTGCTTGAGCAAGGAGAGCTGTGATCTACATGTAGTGAGCTGTGCTCCATGGGAGGTATGTAAACAGAAGCTGGGATGCTATCTGGTAGCTGGTGCAGAACAGACACTCCATACAAGTTAAGTAAGTGGATGAATGAATGAATGAATGAGTTGCCCTGGGGAGAGCAGGAGCCCACTCAGCTTAGGAGCAAGGAGCACGGAGAGTAAGAACCATCCTGGACCCTGATAATCCCAACTCTCTGGGCCCTTGAGCAGGGAGGGCACTAGGCACTGTGGTCCAAGCTCTCGAGGACAGTCAGGAGGCAGAGGTTCCTGAGGCAGGAATGTGCTCGTGTGGATGCCTGGGAAGGGAGCCTCAACTCCTACCTCCCATGACCAGGCTGGTCAGCCTCAGCAAGGGCTCTGACACCTGCTTTGGGTAAAATGCAAGAGAAGGGCTTGGGGCAGGCAGCAATTCAGAACTGGGCAGAGCAGGAGTTAACTGGAAGCAGACAAGGATGTGTTTGAAACCTGGGAGAGGGCTGGCGGAGCACAGAGATGTTAACCAGGGTATGGAAAATTCCTGGGAATTGGGGTGTAACCAAGGAATTGGCCTGAACCCCACAGCAGGGACAAGGAGATTCTCAGAAGGCCCCCTCTGCCCCTCACAGCCCCCTTCTCCTCCTCACGGCGCCTCCCCTGAGCTGCACCCGCCTGGGGCTGCAGCACAAACCTACTGGAGCTGGTGGCCTGGGGTGAACTCCTCTAGGGGACAGAGCTCAAAGTCCTGCTGATAATGGATCCAGTCCCACGGGAGCCCAGCTCCTTTGTCCTCCGTATCTCTAACACCACATTACTCCCTGCTGAGCTCAACTCTGGACCTGATCCTCGACGCCTTTTCTGATCCAATCTGATTTCATCTAGGTCCTGTGCCTTCTGGCTGTGACCTGGGACCAGGCTTCTGACCTGTGACTATATCACGTTTGGTCACAGGGGAGAGAGATGGGGGTGTGGCCAGAGGGTACTTTAAACCCTGGTCCTGGAGCCCCTGCTCCAGGTGGACAAAGCCATTCTCGCAGCAGCTGGGGCACCCGCCCTCCCTGCCCAGAGGACCCACAGCAGCAGCAGCTTCAGGGTCTCCACGCCTGGGGTGGGGGCGAGGCCACAAATCCAAGTGGAAGCCTTTGCCATCTTCTCATGCCCGACTTCCTGACTTACATCACCCACCTCGGCTGGGTTCCTGACTGCCCCGAACCCTCATGAAGCCTTTGCCTCATTCATCTCCTCATTCATTCATTCCACATGCCAGGTAGTAGGCTCGATGGAGACACATCAGCTGTGAATTTTGCCCTCAGTGGGTCCACGTCTGAGTTGGAGGAATAAGACTCATACTTAAATCACTATAATATAAGGCAGAAAATGATAGTAAATAGTTAACCAGAGTAGGATACTGAGAAGAGACAAAGTGCTACGGGTCATTAAGAAAAGGGAGCTCAATTCCAGAGGATGTCTGGGAGGCTGTCCCGGAGGAGGAGGCCTTTGAGCTGTTTTAATGGTATTTGGATTGGAAGTTGAAATCAGCCCAGGACTGTGTTCCCACTTCCCAGGGGGAATCACTTTGTTACAGGGACCTGAACTTGGCACAGGGTGTGTGTTGAGAGAATGGTTGAACATTAAGCTCTCCTTGCTGACCCTCTGGAATGAGCTTTAGGTGGTTAGGATAGGTAGGGGGTTCCGAGCGTGGTTGAAGGCTCCAAAATCACACTGCTGATTGAAGGGCAACGCCAGAGGCAACTTCTGTTTTCAGCAGGAGGTGGGTCTGTGTTACGGAGGATGGTGCTCTGGCCCACCCCTCTGCCCTAGTCTGCTCCAGTGGCTGGCTCAGGTAAGGCTGCAGGCATGCCTTTACCAGTGATGGTGGCTGTAGGGAGGGAGGTGTCACAATTCCTAATTTCGTGCTTGGAGCTGCCACTCAGGCTGAAACAGGTTGCTTTCCTGTTCTCTGGCCACCCCAGGCCATTTGAATTCTCCCAGTGGGCTATGCCCTCGCCTCTGGGCCTGGGAACACACAGGTCCCTTGGCATATGCTTCTCTCTCATCACCTGGTGTATTGGTCAGAGTTCTTGCAGGAAACAGGTGGCCTACCAGAGGTTTTACTGAAGAGACTTAACAGAGGTGCTGTGTACAGAGGGGTGGGCAGGGTGAAGCACCCTGAATGGGATGTTGAGGCACAGGAGCCAACAGCAGTGGGAAGTGGGAGTGTCAGGGGAGGGCACAGCACTACCAGAACCTGGCAAGAGCCAAGGTTGAAGGCAGAGGGAAACTGTGGCTGGAAGCAGGCAGAGCAGGGAGTGAGTGCCCCACTCCCTCCTGCCTTCTGATCCTCTCCACCTTCTGATCCCTGCTTGGGCTTCATAGATCCACCCCAGCTTTCAGGTAGAGGCCTGTGGTCAGCCCCCTGGGCTCCAAGCAGGTGGATCCCCAAGAAGGAATCTGGAGGGCCAAGGTGGAATGGAGCCCTCTGGTAGCTCCTATCCTTCTTCAGGTCTCAGCATCAGCCTGCCTCGACTGTCCTGAGGCTGTCTCGTCCCCCAGTGCCAAGAAGATGGAGGCTGACCACCCATGGTGGATTGTGAGGCCAGGACAGGGACAGAGTCTTACTCATCCTTTCACTCCAGCACCTACCCCAGCCTGGCCCAGAGCACAGAGAGCCCAGTAAGTAAAAATGATGAGAAGAGCAGAGAAATTGGAGTCAGCCCTGGATTCAACCCCTGCCTCTGTGACAGTGACATTGAGCGACCTTTCTGTGAGCCTCAATATCCTGATTCCAAAAACCCAGCAATAATACCTAACCTGTAGGTGTTACTGGACAAATACTCAGCTTCTGTAGCCACAACACAGAGGGCCCAATGAAACTGGAACACCAGGTTTATGGCAAGGAAAGGGTTTTTTTTTTTTTAAAGTGACATCGGCCATGAGGTGAGCATGAGCCCTCAAATTTGTCCCATCTCCCCAAAAGATGAGATGCCAGGTGTTTTAAAGGTTGCAAGGAATGTGGTTCTTAGTAGGGAGCAGAAGCTCATGGCCTTGCTGGTTGGCATTTTCCCGCCAGCCTGCGTTTGGCCTTGTGAGGCTGCTTGCAGGGAAGGGGGTGGTGAGATAAGGGATTCTGCAGGTGGGTGTCCTTGCTTGTCTGCCTCCATGGTGGATGGTGGCTTCTGGTGCCAGGAAGCCAAGGAGTTGAGGTTTGGGAAGCTTCAGCTTCTTGATATTCTCTGGATATCAGTTTCCTTATAATAAAACTTCAAAAGACATATAACTAGCCAAAACTTCAGTGTAAGCCCAGTGTGAGGCCACCTGAGCTTTTAACAATTTGTAACTTCTATTTACCTTGTGAAGTTCATGGACACAAAGGTTTAAAAGCCCAATATTTACATATGAATGCAACTTAGAGAAGCAGGGAAAGGGGATGGGTGCTTTTGCTTTTAACCCCATATATGCCAGGTTTAACGTAGGGGAACTGATATCAGGGAGGGCATCAGTTCTCCCCTATTTTAAGTTCATTCCTCAATCTTGAGGGATTTGCGGCAATGACTGATCTAGCTCCTTCCTGCTGAATCGTGTATAGATCTGGGTTAGAGGAATGAAATTGTTTTGCACTTATTTGGAAATATTTTTTTTCCCAGCTTCAGGTTGACATTTTGTATTATTAGAGCTTTTGTACCTAGTTGAACAGTTTTAGAACAACATCTAAAGGCACATTAAGTATATTACCAGAAGTATAAAATGTGTAGACAACTCAAATTTTAACAGTCCCTGAAAAAACAGATTTATTCCCTTGGGGCATCCAAGAAAACAGTTCTGAAAACCAGTCTGAACCTGGTACCTCTGGGGAATACCTGGTGATAAGGGGTATAGGTTGTTCCTTACTTTGATCCATTCAATTAGTTAGGCAATGATGTAGGTAGGTTCCCAAAGTTAGGCCTATGTTGTGTAAGCAAGTAACCAGGTATTTGATAAGAGGAATTTCTAGAGACACAAAAAGGAACAACAATGTTAATGGTTGGAGCACATGATAAACCAGTTTCTGAGCCCAGGGGGCAGCCACTCAAGATTTGTAGAAGTCAGAGTTAAAGCATCTTTTGCAGGTTGAAATGCCTCTGATGGTGTCATCAGGTGTTCAGGTATCTTTCTGAGTGGCTCACACAGCAAGAGGCATGAATCTTTTTAAAGTTTATATCATGATGTCCAGCTTCAGTTTGCAGGGCTTCAGGAAAAAGGGTAGTCTCAGTTTTCAATGATTCCAAATGAAAATGATGGAAAAGAATGGAAAATGTTAGTTTGGGGATTTGTAGCCAGATATTTCAGGAGACTAGAAGAATTCAGGATCCAGATCCAGTTTAAAGATAGAAAACAAAAACCTTGAAGATAATTAACAGAATCAGAATCTAATATCCACAAATGTGTATTATAGTTTCTATTGAAACGTAATTTTTCTCTCTAAAATCCCCCTAATTTTGACAAAAGGTAGCCATATTAAGACCCACTGGTTTACAAAATAAGTCTAGTTTTAATAAACTTGGCCCAATTATTTACAGCAAGTAAGTACAGCAAGAATAGCAACTGATCATATTTGCTCTTTTAAATCTACTTTGCTGGAACTTTCTACAAAGAATCCCAGATTGAACTTTAAAGGCCTCTTGTGGCCAGGAAAGTCAAGCCAAGGGATTTGTCATCAGACTTTGCCTGCAATACCTACTGATTTGGGTGAATTCCTCTCTTCTTTTGAGGTTCCCCAAAATATTGATGCCCCAGGCACTTGCCAGATAAGTGACCTTCCTTACTTACGCAGTAAGGTTGCTGTTTGGAATGCCATAAACAAGGTACCAGGCCAATATTTCCAGTTGGCTTTATTCCATAAAGGCCAATCTTTGTCTCTCCAAAGCTGTCTGATCATATCTCAGTCTATGTATGTTTTTCTCCAATATGATATTCCAGTCAAAGCTTTGGTAATATAACCAATGTTTCCAACTGTGTCTTGCTATAAGGAGAACAGCTTCTTATTGAACTTATGCAAATAAATCTATTGCCATAGAATAAGTACACTTACTTATTAAGAGTTTCCAAATTCTGGAGGGATCATGTAGAGAGAAAAAGATAAATGTTTCAATTCTGCTTACAAAGGTATAAATTACCAAACTGCTATAAGTCATAGCTAGCCTGAGAAAGAAGAGGAAATGTTGTCCTTAAACCTCAAAAAACAAAACATTAAAAAATCAGCAACATTTCAAACAAAAAGTCATAGAAATTATAATTATCCTCATCAGTTCATTTAGTCCCATGCAATCGATTCTTGATCTTAATCCTCTGTTAGTTCAGGAAGTCATCAGTTTCTCAGTTAGAATTCTGTAATTTCTTACCCAGTTCAGTTTTACAATCTGAAAGTTTATCAGAAAACTCTATTCTAGAGTATCAGAGTCCTTTCCATGAATTTCTCTGAAGATGAAACTTATTTGCCAAAACATCAGAATAAAACAACTGTCTTCAAACCGTAAAAGATTTAAAAATGGCAATTGACAATGAAATTTGGCTATTTCTGTAACATACAACACTTTGAGATAATAATTAGTATTATGACTGACAACCAGGACAGATCAGAATTTTAGGAATGTTGTATAATGTTTAAAACACTTATATTAATAACATTTACTCACACCATGTAACCTAGGAAGGCTTGTTATCATTTATTTGACAATATTTCCCATGTAATTTAACCTACCAAATAAGTCTAATTAGTTAAATATCTTCCTCTTTATGGAAAGAGACAAAAAATTTTTGGAGAAGTCTCAAGGCTGATTTGATATTTTTAAAGTTCCTTTTGAAGTCAAAAGAAAGACTTTAATTTTGGCAGAAGTTCATTAAAAATATCAAAAGGTTTTAAGATGCTTGGTCAAATAGGAAACAATGTCTAGTTATGCATTTAATCAAGGTGACAACAGAAACAGTCAAAGTCAAACAGAGAGTTAAAACAGTAAAAAAAAAAAACCTTAATAGACATAACTCTGTCCTTTAGAACATAGGAAATTATTTTAACAAAACATAGATTTTTCTGTCTTTTGGGTAGACTTACTCAAAGGAACACCTTTTTAACCTATATATAAAGAGTAGATCAAAAGTTTAAGAAAATTACCTTTGTAAGAGAAGAAGCCAAATTCTAATTTTCCACCAGCTTACATTAGCCAACTTGACCATGTTCAAAATTCCTTGGGGTTTTACTTCCAGAAACTTTTGTTACTTACCCTTTATGTTTAGAATTTGTCCCATGTCTTCTTTGTCCCTAATACTTTAGGACAAATTTATTTTTCTTAACCCAAAAAACAAAAATATTTCCATTCCTTATATCTTTTTTTACTGAAATCATACATTTTATTTTCCTCGAATTTTCCTTAATTTTTAGTAACTTTAATCACATATTAGAATTTTTAACCCTTAGAAACATTAATTTTTAAGTAAAAACTAAGTAAGCAATTATGAACTGTCTTTTACATTAGCATTTTGTGGCTTGAGAAATTTATAAACACTTTTTGTAAATTTAGAAACATGTTACTTTATAGTACAATCTTTTAACAGCACACAAGACATGTTTACCAATAGACCTAAAACACCTTTTAGTTTTTTTGTACTAAGAAGCCAAAGGCAGACAAATCTATGCTTAGTAACCAATTTTTAATATTTTGTCTTGTGTGGAAAAGACTCAGATATTCAATAAATTTTTATCATTTAACTTTAAATTTAGTAAAACTCTCAAGTTTGAAGTTACCAAAAAGATTTTGGAAGCTTTTTTAAAAGTATATATACCATAAAACATAATTATTACACCTAAAAACATCCATTTTTATTTATCGAAATTATTTTATTAATAATTATGGTTAGATTACTCACAAAAACTTCATGTGCCATTAAAGCAGTCAGCCATCATCTCAAGTTGTTTTAAGTACATAGAACATAACACAGAATTATTGTTAAAAGGTTCCCCCAAAACCTTTCATCCTTTTCACATCTAATTAGTTTACTTGTTCCCAATAATTATATTTAGATTGTCTACAAAACCCTCATGAGACATCAAACAGAAACAGTTATTATTCTGTTATTACTTTTGCTGACAAATTTTATAACAGAGATAACATGTCTGTATCATATCCAACGTTGATAACTTTGAAAACGTATTTACTTTAAATCAAACCAGCAAACATAAACAGGCTTTCATTTCCCTAAGATCATTTTATATCATGTTAAATAACTTTGGATATTAGAAGTTTATGCATATCAATCAAAGACCACACTCCATTATGAGAGGTCTTGAGTCTTTTCTTTCCAGGGTGACCGCAAGGTGGACTCATATGAAAGAGAGGTTTCCCAGAATGGCCATAACAATTCCAAATTATCTTAAAAGTTGACTTATTTTCACTTGCTTAATTTTAGATCAGTAATTTGGGGGAGTTGAAGGGGGGAAGCTCAGCAGGAGAGGAGAGATGAGCAGCAGATTTGGCTTTGGCTGCTGGCATGTTTAATTATTTAATTATTTTCTTTTAAAGAGGCAGTAAAGTATTCCTGATTTCATTTAGAAGCCTCAAAACATTAAAATAGAGTTCCCATTGGTTGTTTAACTTTGTAGCTGGCTTTTTCCAAATGCATATGTAAATACACCAGTTTGGGTAAACTGAAATTGCCCCATATTGGCCATTTTAAAGTGAGATCTCCTTTAGCATGTTTAATTAACATTGCTTGAAGGGTGGATTTATGTGCTCTTACAATATCAGGCAGGAGAAACATTTCCCAGTGGGACACTATGTTGATCCCATGACACAATCTATAATACAATCAGACAAAAGAGATGCAATCATTTTACATAAAGACCATTTAAATATAGTGAATTTTTACAAAATTTTATCAATTTTTATACCTCTAATTATAGCTTCCATTAGGACTCCATCATTAAGTCTTGGTCTTATAATATTGTGTAGGGGAAGCATTCCCAGCCAGACACAAAATCCATTTCCAAAAAAACCTTCAGGCAAAGTTGACATGACATCTTCACATAATATTAGCTTGAACATTTTAATTTCATAATTTTGTCAACTTTATCAGCCCAACTGTTGCCCAAGCAATTGTTGCTCAGGTTTCTCATTGTGGTTTTCTACCTTTTGGCTTTAAAAAATTTTTTTAAACTGGGGTGAATAGAATGGGCACGTCTGATGTTCTTTAATGTTGGGGGGCCAATAGGGAGTCTTTTTAGCCCATCCAACCTTTGGAAATGTTTTATTAAAACCTTTGTTTTAACCTCATTCATATCTGTTCCATTTACCCCATCTTGCTTTTTAATAACTAGCTAAAGATTTCCATCCTGTTGGGGTGAGTCCTGTGACTCTTCCCTGTTTGATTCCTCTTTATTTTCCCCCTTTTAATATTTGTCTTATTTACTCCACTGTCTTATTTGCCTTATCTTTTGAAAAAACAAAACCTTTAAAATTTTATACTTGGTTGAGAAGAGTTTCTTTATTTTCTTCTTAGCTTTTTAAATTCTTTTGTTAACTTGTTTTCATTAGCATCTGTAAGACTGAGAGGAAGCTGAGACCCCAAATTTGATTGTTTCATCTTTTTCTTTTGCATAGATTTATAACTGAAAACATCCCAATTTGGCAATACACAACTCAGAGGGCTGCCACTGGGAATCAAATCTGAGTTTCCCATCATGGCACTGCTCACACACACACATTATATACATGCACACATATCCACAGAAGTATCAAAACAGATGGAACCAAGAGTTAGTCCTTTCAACGTCAGGGTTCCCCCTGAAAAAACTCCAGTAACCTAGAACAAAACCCCTGAAACAGAGGTAAACAAACTACACATTCACACACACACACACACACACACACACACACACACACACAAAAGTATCAAAACAGATGGAGCTCAAATTTAGTCCTCTCTGAGTGAGATCCCTAGTCCTTTCAACAAAGTCAGAGCCCCCCTGCCCAAAGTCCAGCAACCTGGAACAAAACCCCTGAAACAGAGGCAAGGAAAGAAAGGAAAAATAGGGCTTGGTCAGTTTTAATGAGGAATCTCACCAAAAGGTCGTCCGTGCCAAACCAGAAGCCAAAACAAAACAAGCAAGCAAATCTAGAGCCTGTTTCCTCGCCACAAGAAAAATGTGCCTAGGTTCAGTGGTGCAGGATCAGATGGAAAAT